CTGTATTTAGTTACTTTCCACCACTGAGCAGGACAGTCAGTTATCATTGGCCTTGGCAAAGGTGTGATTCTAGTTGTTTTAAAAGAGCTGCCGACCTTTGACTTCCTGCTGTTACCGTGGAACAATGTTTAAAGGAAACTATGTTTTGGTTCAAATGTAAGACAAAGATGCCAACAGAATGTAAAGGGGATCTGTTCTCCTGCATCATGTGATCTCAGTGTCAATGAGAGTAACCCACAAACAGTGAATCCAGCTGCACCCTTCTCAGCGCTCATCAGCCTGACATCTCTCTGGCAGTGAAGAACTGTGGATTTGGCGCAGGCATAAAAGAGGAAGACAGGTAAATGATATTCCAATGTGTCATCTCTTCAGAGAGAGCTCGGCGCTCCCTCAGGAAGCGTCTGATGAATATTAATGTGTGGTAACAACAGTCGCTGCGTGCCAGGCCTGTCAGGTCTGGAGACAGGTTTGTGGTTTGAGGGCAGAGAGCGTCACCTCTCCTCGTCTCTCAGCTTTGTCAACTTGTTTTCCCTCTGTGCTACACGGGGGCTTTGTCTCTGGGCTCAGGATTTCTCTCCGCTTTGATATATTTTCCCAGGTTGCCTTTGGTGTGTACTTCACAGGCGCTGTGGCAGCACTCATTAACACACTCCTGACAATTGTGTTTTTTCTCTTTTAAGCCACTACCGTACCTGCCATCCTTCCTAATTGTCCCATGAGACATGGCAATGATGAGAATAGAGAAATGGCCTTAATTCATCTTTAATTAGCGTTTGCGCTAATGTCTGATCAAATAGCATATTAATTGTGGCTTTATAGAGTTATTATGAAGAGCACCTGCAATGGTGTCATTTAGAAAGTAAGGGCTTTATTTCAAAAGATAAATAAGAACACAACGAGCTGGCTGGAATTGATAATGTTTTTAACATTTTTTACATACCAAAGCAAATTCCTCATATAAGTAAACCTATTTGGTAAGAAAACCGATTCTGATTGTGATTATACAACGATAATGAAGAATAGAGCTGTTGCATTACATTTTGGACTTGCTGCCCTGACTAATCATTAGCACTCTTTGAGGGGCCCTCCCTGTCTGATTGTCTACAAGTGTGCTGGAGGCAGAGCAGCCCCCCCCCCCAGCTGATTACCTCCTACAGAGACTCAGCAGCCACCTCCACGCTGCCAGACCTTAGAACCTGCTCGTCAGCCAGTTAAATATTAGTGATAGCGGTTCTCCTCTTTTCCCTTGCCTGATCCTGTTCAGTTTTTTCTTCCCTTGCAGTCCTGTCTGCTCTGCTCCAGCCCCTGTGGACCGCTCAGACCCTGACCCAAACCCCCCTCCCTGGACCCCCTCCCATTCGGCTCCCCTTCACTCCCCATCTCAGCTCTGATCAACCACGCATTTTTCCAACAATAAACCTTTTTTCAAAGCTATTCCTGCTACTGTCTGAGTCCGCACCTGGGTCCACCTGTTGAGCTGCCCACTTAACAAGACCTATGTCAGGTCAACATTGATTTGATATATTTCTCACCTCAGCCCTGCTGGTGGAAACAGTCTATTATCAGATGTAAAGATCACATTGTACGGATTTGATCCTGCTTTCATGTCCGTTTCAAATAGTTTTGTGCGTCAGAGCTACGGCATCGATCACGCAACTGCACACACACACACACACACACACACACACACACACACACACACACACACACACACACACACACACACACACACACACACACACACACACACACACACACACACACACCACACACACACACACACCACACACACACACACACACACACACACACACACACACACACACACACACACACACACACACACACACACACTGGGAGGGGGTTTGTGTTATTTGCGCTCTTCATATATACAGTAGTTCCACACTGAGTTGACAGAGGCAGTGGATGAGCTCCGACAGCCGTGCCATGTTGTCAGAGCTGATTGGCGTTTAAACGGGTGTGCAGTGTTTACTCTTTGTTTGTTGTTACATTAGTTGTGACAAACCCCAGATCAGCTGTCAGCATCTGTCTGGCAGGAAGCCTTCAGCCTGATCCCACTGAAGAGGAACTGTATTTTAAGTAATACCTTGCACCTCACAGTTTATATGTTGGATATGAGTGATGATATATAATGTAATCCCATGTTTTCCTCTTTTATATTTTCAGGTCTCTGCTCTGGTCCAAATCAGTTTCAAGTGTGGTTTCCACTTGGTGTTGTTTCATTTAACACGGAAAAAGATAAAAGCAAAACAACTAGAGTCACTTATTAAAAGCCATATGAAAAATCCACTCCTCCCATTGGTAAGACTGGTTCATTGCTAGTTTTGTTCAACATGGTCCGATTGTCCGGCTACTGTGACTGTGGCACAGTTGTAGTTTCAGTCTGATTGTTTTCTGTTTAATTTTAAAGTTTTATTTCAATGATGTCTGTTTTTTTTATGTCTTTGCGTATTTCCCCCCCCTGTTTGATAGTGTCTCCTGGCGTTATTAGTTACACCAGGTTCCCATAAGCCCTGAAACCACGTGTCCTCATGTACACCTGCACTTTATCTGCACTTTAAAGTGTTTTCTGTTAAAGGTGGGGTAGGTAATTCACTTCAGAAACACTTTTTGTTATATTCCATGGAATGCTCTTAACATCCCGATAGCAATGAATACATTAAATGCTTTGACAATAACTACATAAAAAAATGTCATCTGTGGAAGCTGTAGTACTGTAAAAAGCACGACCAATCATTTTAGCCGGCTCGGCTAAAATAACTGGATGGCCTACCTGCCTGTCAGCCTTCCATCTGTGCACAAACTTATCTCGTGCCCTCATTGGTCATGTGCACGTTCGTTATTTTTCTTCGGCTGCGTACTTTCAAATTCTAGCGCACTCGAGCTGGTTTCTCCATTCTTACCTACCCTACCTTTAAGTCTTCCTGTCTCCTGCGTTTGGGCCTGACCCCTCCCCTCCTGCTGACAGCGGTGGTCTGTAAAGCCCCTGTCACACTGTCCAGAAATTGACCCCAGATGGACACACGAATATGGAATTGTGAATTTCGCACGAAGATGGCCCCGAAGTTGGTCAACAGCCAAGCAACAGCCGAAGCAAGTACGATGCCTACGTGTGAGTACGATGATTTAGAATGTATCCAGACTCAACGTAAGAGCTTGTGCCTCTTCGGGGGGTGCTAACATTTAAACATACACTTTATTCTTTACTTTCTCCGTCTTTATATGTAGATTAGAAGATATTACTTATCTCCGTCATGTTGTTTCCATAGCAACAACAACTTCCTGTCAACAGCGTAAACTCGCCTTCAAAAATCAAAGCATCTAAATAAAACAGGAAGTTAACCTAAATTACATTTAAGACATACAACTGCAACGAAAGTAACAAAAACAATGTAATATCCTTTTCAGTTTCACAGAACACAAATTGAGTTATTTACATAATATGTTTACATGATTTTGTTGTGCAATAAATGCAATCTCGATGTCATCGTACTATAATACGATGGCTACACGACGGCATTGCGAGGGCTTCACGTAGTCGTGTTGCCTTCCTAAGACAATCGGGCAGCTTCTTGTTTCCTTCGTATTGTCTTCGTGAGGCGAAAAATGCCCGATGGCACCGATGATCAGAGGAAGATGACACGATTTGACAAGATGCCCTCACGCTGGCCTTACGAAGGGCAAAATGGACACACAAATTCAACACGAAAATGAACCTTCGCAAGGTCCTTCGGCAATTTGTTGGCATGCCAAAGATTTGGCCACCGCTCACGAAGTTGCTGCCGGAGCCTGAGAAACTCCACCGGCGGTCATACCATGGCTTAAGATGCCCTCACGAATGGCCCGATGTTGTTACGATCAGAGCCGAATTTGAACATTTCCTTTATCGTGTGTCCATCTGGTGTCAATTTCAGACAGTGTGACAGGGGGTTAAAGGCCCGCTGAGGATGCCATGTTAGATTGATCCACAGATCCTAAAGCCCCGGTCATCATGATCTCATGGGTTCAGATAATCAACTCAAAAGTTAAGCTCACATTAAATAACGCTCATGTTAACATGATGTGTAAACATTAAAGTCAGCTTACATTTTCATAAATGTCTGCATGCTGCTTTGTTCATGGTTTGGAACAAACTTCCAGAAACCTGCAGGTCCGCTGCAACTCTTACTACTTTTAAATCCAGGCTGAAGACTTTTCTTTTTGTCGCCGCTTTTAATTGAACTATTCACATCTTAAACTGCACTGTAACTTTTATACATGTATTTTTTCTTTTAATGTTTCTTTTATTATCTTTTCTTTTTAATGACTGATTTTAAATGCCATTTTCTTAATGTCTTTCATTTTTGGTAAAGCACTTTGAATTGCCTTGTGTTGAAAAGTGCTATATAAATAAACTTGCCTTGCCTTGCCTTTGTGCTAACTGTTTTTTTCCTTTTTTGCTAACATTAGCTAACATGCCGCTCAGAAGTACAACAGGTAAAGCAGCTAAGTGTATTGCTGAGGAGGAGATAGTTGTACCTTTCAGGACATACAATGTGGCACTCCAACGACATGAAGGTCACTGAGTGGGATTTGGCATTCAAACAGTAATCTGTCACAACATTGTTTGTTTTTTGTTGACTAAAATTCAATAAAAAAGGTCTTGGGGACCTTCTGTGTCATCTATATATTCCAAGAAAGGTTTAGAGAATATAACTGGGACTTTTATATACATGTGTATATTTTGAAAATGTCATCCCAAAATGTCTCCTTTGGGATAAACAAAGAGGATTTCAGCTGGTAAAAAACCCACTTTTCTTTATACTCAGTTAGAGTGCAGTATTTACATGAATGTGAATGAATGAGTCTCCGGCCACATGCCACAAACTATGCATGTTTGGTTGTAAATAATTGAAGTGCAAATTAACATAGCTGCGATAAACAACATTTATCCAATCATAGCATGACATGTCTTCTGTCCTCACTCACTCTGCTCTTACCTGGTCCCAGTCTATACTGCGGAAAAATGTGTGTGACTTGATATCTGTGTAGCCCGTCTGGACCTGGCACCCCAGCCGCTCCTTGGGATCCTGTTGGGACCAAAACAGCTGGTCAGCGAGATAAACAGGAGCATCTGTATTTCAAATAGAGACTATTCTTTATAATTCAGCATCTGCATGTAAACAACGCAGGCCTACTGTCAGGGTGATTATACTTAATGTCTGCACTATTAAAGTCCAGGGGGGGGGGGTGTCAAAAGATAGCATTTACCCCATTTCCATATTAGATGTTAATAAGAGAAAAGCCAACGTGGACAATTAGCAATAATGCTGGCCACACATGTTTTCATCATGTTTATGTGCACATGTGGCCCCCCCGCTGCCGCTCAGCTCGAACTGCGCTCTGTTCATCACAACAATTATTCTGAAGACTTAAAGAGAGGAAGTGCATGTGAAGGCTGTTAGCAGCCTCATGCTAACAGATACACTAAGACGTCACACACATGCAACCTTGTAGTCGGTAACAAACTGATTACAACAAATATATATATATATTTCTTAAAGGGCCATACCAGTGTTTCTTTTGTGTTGTTACTACAAATCATAAACGTACAGTAATGTTGATTTTTTTCAGGCCACTTCCATTTATTAGTATGACAAGGCTTGAAACCAGAATGAGTAAAATAATAACTCTAGTGTTATTTTACCTATTTATTTTTGTCAACAGATTTCATATGAACACCAGATGTAAATCTGAATTGAATTACAATTACTTGGAAAAACCATAAGTAAGTTCTTAAAAAAGGACACATGTGGTGCTCTAGTTAGTATTTGTGGTCACAGGACAATGTGTGTGGATTAAGTCAAAATAACCTACAGTGTGTGTGTGTTATAAACGTGAAAATGTCACCCAGTCCAGCAGTGTAATGGCAAACAATCAGCATTTATGTTGTACTATTGTCCCAATGTGTTTTACATCTTACATTGTAAAATAATTTACATTGTTTTGTTGTCGTACATACTAAACTTTAGTATTAACATGATTTCCACTTGTATTTATTTGCATTGCATTTGATATTGAGTCAATTAAAAAGGATGGTAAGTAATCAGTTTACATTAATTACATTTTCTGATACCAAGATAAGTTTACATTTTTTACAAGTAATTGGTAATTGTAACTGAATACATTGGTTATTATTAGGATTTCACCATTATTGTAGCACAGGACAAAATAATAAATACTGGCCATGATCCTACAATGAGCAGCAGTGTGCGCACGCACGCACGCACGCACGCACGCACACACACACACACACGGAGGGTTGCGTTGGGAGGGACTGCTCTCACCTTGTTTAGAAAGCCCTTCAGCACGCTGGCAGCTTTCACTGACAGAGACCTTGGGATGCGAATGGGCTTCTCAAGAATGACTATTGGAGAGAAGAAAAGAGACAGAGAGGGAGAAAGGAGGAAGATCGTGAGTAGGGAGGAGGATGATTCACAGTCCAACCTGCCTGTGGGTGACCATGTCTGCTGAGTGGGAGTCAAAGGAGGGGAGGAGATACAGAGGACTGTTCTCTTCTTCTCTCACTTCTGATGGTCTACACACAGCCTTGAGACTCCCACAGCTTTACAATGTCATACAACCGAGAAGAGAAACTCGGTGAAAAATAGTTTTCCCTCGAAATCTAAAAAGGGTGTAGCTCTGCCTCACACTGTAGTGCTTCAATGCACAGCTCAAGGTCCGCTGGCATCACAGGCTCTGCCCTTGCATGGTTCAGGTCCTACCTGACAGACCGTAGCTTCTCGGTACAGCGAGGTGCCTTCTCCTCTGCCAAAGCCCCTCTTACCTGTGGTGTTCCCCAAGGCTCGATTCTGGGCCCCATCCTTTTTCTACTATACATACTGCCCCTAGGTTCAATTCTCACAAAACATAATATTCCCTTCCACTGCTACGCCGACGATGTACAGATAGATCTGCCTCTCAAAGCAGATGTCACACACTCACTACAGCAGCTGATGGACTGCTTAGCAGAGATAAAATCCTGGCTGAGCAAAAACTTCCTCCACCTCAACGAGAGCAAGACCGAGGTCATCTTTTTTGGACCGCAACCTCCAGCCTCTCCGGTTGATATTCTGGGGTCTCTCAAAAAAAACATCCTCCCCTCGGTCATGAACCTTGGAGTGACCTTCACCAGCACTTTTAAATTCGACAAGCAGATCAGCACCGTAGTCAAATCCTGCTTTTTTAAAATAAGACTATTGGCCAAAACCAAGTCGTATTTATCTTTTAATGACTTAGAAAGGGTTATTAACGCCTTTGTAACCTCGAGACTGGACTATTGTAACGCTCTGTATGTGGGTATGGACCAGGCCTCAATTCAACGCTTACAGCTAGTCCAAAATGCAGCTGCACGTTTGCTGTACGTTTTACTGGCCACAAAAAGCGCGACCACATCACCCCTATTCTGGCCTCACTACACTGGCTTCCAGTTCAGTTCAGAATTGATTTTAAAATCCTTTTATTTGTTTTTAAAGCCCTAAATGGGCTGGCTCCGGCCTATATAGCCGAACTCCTCGAGCGCTACACCCCAGCCAGAGCTTTAAGGTCTGCTGACCAGCTGTTGCTGATAGTGCCCAAGACCAGGCTTAAAACCAGAGGGCACCGAGCCTTCGCAGCAGCTGGCCCTAGGCTCTGGAACACTCTGCCCCTCCATGTGAGGTCGGCCCAGACCCTAGGGGTTTTTAAATCTACACTAAAAACACACTTCTTCTCTCTGGCTTTCTAGTTAGAGCGGAGCACGACTCCTGACTTTTCCTTGTGTTTTTATTTTAATTTTGTTTTTTTTATATATATCTGTTGTAACTTATTGTCGTTTATTGTGATTATAGTAATGTGTTTTTATTACATGTACAGCACTTTGGCTCGACCAAAAATCGCTTTTATATGTGCTATATAAATAAAACCTGATTTGATTTGAAGGTTACATTGTCAGTGTGTGGACATGTTTACTCTCCATCACTACCATGTGTCAGAATAGTGACAGAATAGTGACAGAATAGTGTAAACTGTAAATCGGACATGGTATGCTCAGATCAGGTGTTTCTTTTGAGCAAAGAGGATTTCAGCTGGTAACAAAACCACTTTTCTTTATACTCAGTTGAAGTGCAGTAATTACATGACTGTGAATGAATGAGTCTCCAGCCACATGCCTCATCAAGCTATTAGTGCACACTGTTTTCCCCGGGTTTTGCCTCTCAGGCTACAGGCTTTTTGTTCCGTCTCATTTGTTACCTCATGTTACTTCTTTTATATGTCTCATGTTTTTCTGCAGCTGTTATTTATTAGTGATTTTTCTACTCAGGTGGACAACAGGTATTATTGTACCGGGTTGTTCGGGGTCTGTGCAGCCTGTCAGGATGATCTGCAGACTGTTGCTGAAATAAAGAAGTGCCTCAACTCCGTCTTTAATGACGTTTTTTAATGATATCTATCACTGCCAGAATTTGAACTGTTGTTCGTAGTTAAGATGCAATTAAAATATTACTTATGATACTCCATGGAGGAAAATGACTTTAGATAAGGTTAATTAAATTAACATTTTTGCCTTTTTTACTTCAAAATGTAAGGTCTATTGACCATAAATAAAACGATATATTAATAAGATGGAATGAAGTTGGCTAAAAAGGTGTAAAACAGAATACGGTGATTCATTATATAAGCTTAATAAAGAGTCAACAAAAGTAGCCAGGAAGACAAAACAAAGGTTAACAAACCATTATTCTGGAAAGCACAATATCCAACTTTGTCATAATGTATTATTTGCTAGATTAATATAAATCGAAATAAATACAACAAACAGAATTCACCGAATTCCATAGTTTTATTTCAATGTGTCCCTCCAGCTTTAACTTTGCTTGGTGTTTGTTTAATGTCATAAAATAATCCTCTCACTTGTCAGGGAAATGACACCAAAAACAGAAGAGCACAGCCATGTTCCAAAACCTCTCCGGTGCACATTAAAGCTGAATAAATATTGGTACAAAATGGTAAGACTAGTTTAGTTATTTACAGCCGATTTGAGCTTATGATAGATATACAGAAATACTGTTCTATTAATTCAGCCTGATGAACACTTAGAGAGATAACTGGGGAAAAGCTACTTGGTTGACCTGGAGTGAAGATGTTGGCGTTTCTAATATATTTATCTTATTAAAATTGTACACGTTTTCACAAGAATGCCACCTTGTGCTTGGCTCCCCACTGAGTCAAATGTATGTGTGTCTGAAGCTATAGGGTTGCAGCACTGGGACCCAGAGCAGGGCTGGCACAGGGTCCATAGGTGGCATATGGCTGGGCGGCACCTATAGAGAAAGGGTTGGTTTCCGTTGGCAGGACCTGGAGTAAGAACCTGCTGCTCCACCAGCGAGACGGCATGAGGACGGGCTGGTGGCAGATGCTAGCCGCGGAGCCCTGACAGCCACAGCAGAGACATATTGCGTCACACTAGGCTATATGGAGGAATTTCTGTTATACAGGACTGTGTGGGTGGCTGTGTGAGAGAGGGAGGTAAAGGGGGGGGTCTATGTGAGGCTACCATATGGCTCCAGGAACACAAATACAAATAGGACAGAGATTATAGAGGGTGTGATCAAACTAAAACCTTGTTTCCTTTGGTCCGAACCAAAGTTAGCTTTGTTGTTATTGTGTATTAAATTGTTTCGCTTTTCAATGTAATGTTATTTCCTTGAGAACTGGCCAATCCCTAGAAGGTTAAGATCTCACATTGGTGAATGTTAATTACAATATTGTGGTAAATCCTTGAAGGTAATGCATTTGTTTTACAGTCGCTCGTCTAAAACTTGGCTTTTATCCAATGACTGTTTAGAAAGCAAGACAGGGATATAACCATTAGCTGGGTCAGATGTCCATCAATCAACAAAGTCTGGAAATGTATTTACTCAGAGGTGTAGTGGGTGGAGGCCATTCCATCAGAGTTGGAGTGACATTTGCGCGAGTGTCTTTTCAATTGCGTATGGAGGTAAATCAAATTGAAGCAATACTACATGCAAGACTCACAAGAAACGCCTGGCTCATAAAGATTTTTTTTTATAGATGCATTCCTCCTGAATCAAATGAGTATTTGTTGTGTCTCGTCAAATGTGTTGGTTATGTTTATGTATTATGTCTGTCATTTTCATGTTTTTTCACGTCTGGTCATGTCTGTTTATTTAGGTTCTTCATCTCTAGTCAGTCTCTGTGTTTATTGTCATGTCTCGTTTTCCATTTCCTGTTTTATTTTGTACTTACCTCTTGTCTTTCATTTCAGGCCCTGTTTCTTCCTCCCCTTGTGTGTTTTTTCCCATCATCAGTGTCTGCCCCGCCCCTGATTGTTTCCACCTGTTCCCACTCACCTCATGTTTAAATAGTCCTGTCTCTCCCCTGTCCTGTGTCAGTTCCTCTTGTTTGTTTCTCCGAATGGTCGTGCCAAGCCTCAGCTCAGAAAGGATCACTTTCACTCATGTCAGGTTTTGTTTCTTTTGTTAATTTTGTAGGCTTAAGTTTTTCTTAAGTTCTCTTTTTGTTATGCCTAGATTTTTCCTCCTTGTGAGCGCCTTTTGTTATTTCCAGTATCTACTCTGTTAAGAGGGATTACCTGATCTGTGAAATTAAAATTACATTTTTTTACATTCAAGACTTTGTCTCTGGGTCGTGCATTTGGGTTCATCAGTTTGTGTCGAGATCCTGAAAGTATTACCAAACAGATAAGGTTACAGCAGCTGACATAATGAGCGTTTACCACATTGTGCAGAACACCAGTCAGTAGACTGTGGTAGTAAGCTAGCTCCTGTCAACCTAAAGTAAAGCCTTGTTATTCATATTTAAGAGCAAATAAATGTTTATTTGTAAGGGTTAGATGGACATTAAAATGTCAATCTGAACTAGGTCTTATCATAACAGTAATATGTCTCACATTGTCCCACACAAACACACTCTTTGACCCCTGGCCCCCCTGGCCCCCCTGGCTGCAGGCCTACACAGAGAAGGGATTTATGGGTAACTGCACGTAGCAGTGAGGGACATCCTCTCATCTGCGCAAGTTCCACATCTACTCAAGGATTTCTGTGGGCCTCCAAATATGTTCAAAACAATGTCCCCGACTGTATGTTCCCGCCTTAGAGACATGTGCACAGGTATCATTTAGAGACATGTGTGGCTGGACACCATTCTCCGTAGATGCACGAGATGTTTTCTCGTGCAGAATGATAAAATACCTTTATCATTTGACACTTGAAGCACTCACAGACACTATTGAGAGAAAATAAATAAAGTAACCGAGGCAAATTCCAGGAGTGCATGCTCAAAATGCTGCTTCTCTTCAGCGTCAAAGGCATTTCCACGTTTACACAGAGCTGTAGACGGATGCACTGCGATGTACCGTATGATGATTATGAGGAAAGACTCACAACTCTGAACAGTTATTATGGCATCATTACTTTCATCCTTCATTTGGAAAACCGTCAGATACAGCTATCCTACAATTGTGTCCCTACACAACACAACAATGATCGGTAGATATAGAGCATTGTGGGATGTTGACACACATTTTTCGCTCAAGCGAACTGGCAATCGAAACCCCCGACGCCACAGCGTTACATTCATTACTCAAATATCCATTTCTTGCTCAGCTCACATGCAACAGATTTTCTTAATGTCCTTTAAAACATTAAGAAACCAGTCTTTTTTTTTCTTTCTGCCTGACCACCATATCGCCATCCAATGGGGTTTAAGAGACCATATACTCTGCCAACAGAATATTAAACTCATAAATCGCTCACTTCGATTTTTTAGGTAGAAATAAACACAGACAAAAAATGTACATCAATAGGAAATAAAAACAAAATACCAAAATGAGTGCATGTTCTCCAACGGTTCTTTTCCTTAGCCTTATCAAATGATATCACTAATGTAAATGCAACAAGAAGTTACTCAAATGCCAATAAATCTCACAAACTAAAATACAACAGGAGTGGATTGAGAGACTACAGCAAACTGAAGCTAATTAACATGTGAGAGAAATAACATTAGCTTTATTTCTGAGATTCACTCATTTGAATGAAGCATACAGACCCATCTAAGCCTGGGTTTACAAACACACATAAATCCTTACAGCCCAGAGGTGATTGTTATTTACATGGCATCTGTTTTCCACACTCTCAGACTCTCAGTTATGCGTCACAAAGGGTTAAACTAACATGTTTCTGTTTAAATGGCACCAAACAGCCTGCCAGACGCTCTCAATACTCATATTTGATTTCCCAATATTCCTCTACTGCTAATCCATAAAGCACAGGATGTAGTGAGGAGCTGGAGACACTCCTGATCATCAAACAGGGACCGACATTATAGAATAAAACTAAATACTGCTGTATGACTTTTCTAAATAAATAACTTTAAAGTGAAAATATACTTTTGTAAATATGTATTTAGTGATTAAGAACTGTTTTGAGAAAAAAAGAACCCCCCCAAGGCTATTATTGTCTGTCTAACACTGGTTGCCATGGTATTTGTTCAGAAATGTATGATCTCTACAGGATGATTACAAATGATTTATAATATTTTCGCCAGCTCCTTCATCAGGACAACATTTTCCTCGGTTTTTTATTCTGTTGGTCAAATTTCAATGCCAGCACATTTTTTAAAAGCACAGTCCTGCCTCCCCAAATAATGAAAAATGTTTCAGACCTAGCTATAATTTGATCATTTATGATAGCTGTTTCATAATATTACTTTTTGGAATTGTTGCTTTTACAGGCTAGCGTTATGCCTCATAACCGTAAAATACATGTTTTCTACTGACAGCATTGATAAACTACATGTGCAATAAAAAGTCAAATGCAGTAGGCAACGGGTTTTCAAAACTAATAACCTGTGTTTTCGCGGTCCTAGACGGCCGTGCCTACAGGTGTGTATCTCACAGGTGTGTATCTCACAGGTGTGTATCTCACATGTGTGTATCTCACAGGTGTGTATCTCACATGTGTGTATCTCACAGGTGTGTATCTCACATGTGTGTATCTCACAGGTGTGTATCTCACAGGTGTGTATCTCACAGGTGTGTATCTCACATGTGTATCTCACAGGTGTGTATCTCACATGTGTATCTCACATGTGTATCTCACAGGTGTGTATCTCACATGTGTGTATCTCACATGTGTGTATCTCACAGGTGTATTTATTTTGCTATCTCACAGGTGTGTATCTCACAGTGTGTGTATCTCACAGGTGGTATCTCACAGGTGTGTATCTCACAGGTGTGTATCTCACAGTGTATCTCACAGTGTGTATCTCACAGTGTGTATCTCACATGTGGTATCTCACAGGTGTGTATCTCACAGGTTGTGTATCTCACATGGTTATCTCACATGTGTATCTCACAGGTGTGTTATCTCACATGTGTGTATCTCACATGTGTGTATCTCACAGGTGTGTATCTCACATGTGTGTATCTCACATGTGTATCTCACAGGTGTGTATCTCACATGTGTGTATCTCACCAGGTGTGTATCTCACAGGTGTGTATCTCACAGGTGTGTATCTCACAGGTGTGTATCTCACATGTGTGTATCTCACAGGTGTGTATCTCACAGGTGTGTATCTCACAGGTGTGTATCTCACAGGTGTGTATCTCACAGGTGTGTATCTCACATGTGTATCTCACATGTGTATCTCACAGTGTGTATTCTCACAGGTGTGTATCTCCACATGTGTGTATCTCACAGGTGTGTATCTCACAGGTGTGTATCCTCACATGTGTGTATCTCACAGGTGTGGTATCTCACAGGTGTGTATCTCACAGGTGTGTATCTCACAGGTGTGTATCTCACAGGTGTGTATCTCACAGGTGTGTATCTCACAGGTGTGTATCTCACAGGTGTGTATCTCACAGGTGTGTATCTCACAGGTGTGTATCTCACAGGTGTGTATCTCACAGGTGTGTATCTCACAGGTGTGTATCTCACAGGTGTGTATCTCACAGGTGTGTATCTCACAGGTGTGTATCTCACAGGTGTGTATCTCACAGGTGTGTATCTCACAGGTGTGTATCTCACATGTGTGTATCTCACAGGTGTGTATCTCACAGGTGTGTATCTCACAGGTGTGTATCTCACAGGTGTGTATCTCACAGGTGTGTATCTCACAGGTGTGTATCTCACAGGTGTGTATCTCACAGGTGTGTATCTCACTGGTTGGTATCTCACAGGTGTGTATCTCACAGTGTGTATCTCACAGGTGTGTATCTCACAGGTGTGTATCTCACAGGTGTGTATCTCACAGGTGTGTATCTCACAGGTGTGTATCTCACAGGTGTGTATCTCACAGGTGTGTATCTCACAGGTGTGTATCTCACAGGTGTGTATCTCACAGGTGTATTCAACTCTATGTATAGTTATCTCCTTCCCCTCACCTTGGAAGAGGTACTCCTCTGTGTTCATGTCAGGATTGTCGGTGATAATATCAAAAGGGGATCTCCCAGCCATCATCTCAAACATCAGCACGCCCAGAGCCCACCAGTCCACGCTGAAGCCTGGGGGGGGGGCACAACAAAAACATTCTTAAGACAAACAAGACTCAGAGAAACTAATTATCATTGTTATGAATTACCAACTCAGGCATGTTTGGTTAATGGTGAAAGATGTTCTCTCTGTACACGCACTACTACTACAAAATGTGCCTGATGCAGTTAAGGCTAAATACATATCAGTATGTAGTGTCTCTACTGGGACATGTCTCCATGCTTTAATGTTCAAAAAGCTCTTTTTCTCATACTGCCTGTGCTGCAGCACCTCACCCTCTGTCTGAAACCAGAGCCCAGTCTGCTCTGATTGGTTAGCTCAACCACTTAGAATTGTCCCACCCCTTGGCCTATCACGTCCATGTGTTAGAGCACTAGCCAATAGAAGTACAAGTGTTATATAGGGATGTCACTATATTAAGGAAGTAAACAGACCATGCACACATACCTATAAAACACACTACAGGAGAGGGAACACCCAAAACACATAATAGGGCCTGAAATGGTCTTGATCCTAGCGTTTATTTCCGATTTGCTTTTCAACCGATGAACCCTCTAAAATCCTTTTAATTATACCTTCATTTAAAACAAAGACCCACTGTGAGGCGTCCTTTGGTAATTACGGCCCACAACTGAATGTTCATGCTTTTAAGAGCAGTCCTGTGTTTATGGACTTCTGTTGGTATTTAGTGTTTATATTGAACACAATCAAAAATATTTCTTGTTGTTCGGTACTCACCGTAGTCCTCTCCTCGGAGGATCTCAGGGGCGATGTAGTTGGGTGTTCCACAGAAGGTACTGGTGGTGTCCCCTGGTCTGATCCCCTCCTGGTGAGGTGTAGGAGGAGGAACAGTGTGGAGTGATAATAAATAAAGTGTATGATGTGCGAGAACACGATTGATGGACAAAAAACAAAGAAATGAGTACTTCCAGTCGATACTGATCTACTGCATTATTGATCATCCACGCTAGCCGTCCACACAGTGGACTGAAAAATCAATGCGTGTCTTACCTTGCACATGCCGTAGTCTGTGAGCTTGATGTGTCCCTCGTGATCCAAGAGAACGTTGTCCAGCTTCAGGTCTCGGTAGATGATGCCCTTTTCATGCAGGAAGTTCAGAGCGATACAGATTTCAGCAGCATAAAATCTGTGAAGAGAGAAATGCACGATGTTTCTGACCTGTCCTTGAGGGCCTACATCAGGCCAAAGATCTCCTCTGGTACACAACACGACAGATTATCTATAGCCTGTGGTAGCTATAACATGTGTTGCCTTCACTCATAAAAGTCTATGATTAAAACACAGCCGGTGCTTTCACTCTCTTGTAGCACTCCAGGTGAAAAATATATTTTGTAGTTCTTTTCATAAACGTCAAGCCATTTGCATTTTGCGACGCAATAACAAACCAATTTGATGCAAAGCGGCGAATGTAAACGATAACATCTCTACAGCATTTATGCTCTATTAAAATGATGGATGTTAATGGAGCAGCCACAATTTTAGCTGAGCCCTGATCGATTCAAACTGCATTCAGAAAACAAGAAACAAGGTTTACTTGTCTTCTTCAGACAGACTTGACAAAGCATGAATTCTGAACTTTTTACAAATCAGCGTCATGATACATTTATCTCTTTTTTTATTTGTTTTACAAATCACTGTAGTAAACCAGATAGACGGGAATGAACACAATTGACCACATGGTCTAAAGTGCCAAAGTTGGAGAGGATGGACCCATTCCATTCTGAACACTGTAAGCTTTAATCATAGTGCCATCATCAAGACTAAATGTCTTCTGATCAGACAGATCACCAGGTTATCTGCTGAGAACATACATGCTACAAAAGTAAGGAACCGACTTGTTAACCTTCTAAAAGCTACAGCCTCCAGGCTGAAGACTCCTTTAACGAGGGGAAATGTTAAGTACATTTTCACTGTGCCTCCAAATCATTACTCAAACTTAAATAAATAAATAATAACAACCGTGCAGCAGGCATGGTTATTTCTAATTGATCAGTGATTTTTAGAGGTGCAAAGAGCTTCCTTAAGTAGATTATTCCCCTCGTGGTGAACATATATTTATAGCAAACATAACCCTCTTGTTTTGACCGTGATTGGATGTTCTTGTTGTGCTTCTTGGTGAGTCAGTAGCGTTTCCTCTCCATGTGTAGGTAGAGTGTTTTCTGTCTCTGGGAGATAAGCCTTCATTAACAGTGACGGGCCCCCGCCTGCTGTAATTCCACGATTGTCAAACAGTGAGGGAGAGACTGTCGTGGAGAGATGTTTGACATTACAAATCCCACATCGCTCCCCCACGCTCTCTCTGTGACAGCCTCCATTGTACACCGTGGCTCTGGTGCTTACATCAGACTGATAGAAGCTGCATCCTATCAGCAGCATCCATCGCCCACCGGCCCGCCTCCCCCACAGCGCGGGGGAATGCAGCAGGGCTCTCTCTAAGTGCGCTGCTCATGAATATGTACAATCATTATGAGTGATTAACATGCTGCTTTGCATATGTACAGCCACTGTCTCCAGAATACAGATTGCAGGGGCCGATAGGGGCCCAACGGTGCCTCTCTAAATTACCCAGCCTTTGATCCAGCATTTATCAGAGCCGCAGTTGGAATGCCCTGCAAGTGCGCAGGCACAATGAATTATGGGTGCTCATTATATTTCTCAGTGGGGGAAGAATAAGTGTTACATTGGATTTTGGCAGCGCAGCCACGTGCATGGAGCTGCTGAAGCACCGCATTAGGGTTTGTGAGGAGAAGAGGTTTGTGGTGCAGGAGCGTTTGAGACTGGGGATCTTCTAACACGCACTCTCAGTGCACCTCAAAACGCAAGATGCTTAAATGAGACTGATGCTTTATGTTCTAGCAAACATACTACACACCCTGTGCTTTACGTAACATACTTTAAAGAGGACATGGGACATGTCTCCATGCTTTAATGTTCAGAAAGCTCTTTATTGTTCTCATACTGTCTGTGCTGCAGAACCTCTTTTCACCCTCTGTCTGAAACCAGAGCCCTGTCTGCTCTGATTGGTTAGCTGGCTGGTTGTGATTGGTTAACAGCTTAGAGATGTCCCGCCCCTGAGCCTTTCACGTACAATGCGTTGGAGGCTAGCCAATAGAAGCACGAGTGTTACAAAGTGATGTCACTATGTTAATGAAGAAAACAAATGAGTCCAATTGAGGCGTTTCAGGCAGTGTGTGGGAGAGAAACTCCCTCTGGAGGGAACACAGGGATTGTAGTCTTTGTAGACCATTAACATGCACACAAACCTATCCAACACACTACAGGGAAGGGAAAAGCCCAAAAAGCTCAATCGGGCCTCTTAAATCTTAACCCAAACATTTAGTCTTGTGTATCGATGTGTTTCCTGTGTAGCTACCACACATCCAGTCATACCTTCACACACTTCCTCTGGTCATATTCCTGGAGGCCCACAGCAGTCCCTCTACCTGGTCCTGGCGTTTGATCTTTACAGTACAACATTTGGCAAAGATAAAGCGATGCAGACAAGCTATGTGTACAGGAACAGGATGCTCACCTTGCATGTTCTTCCGGAAGCTTCCTTTGTCGTTGCATATGAAACATCATGTCCCCGCCATTCACATATTCAATCACCAGGAATAACCTGCAAAACCGAGCATGATGGGAAAATCTTGTGTCTTAATAGGCAGAAATAAAGAAATACATAATGACGGATGATATCATAAGGAGTCCAGTTATAAAAGATAATATGAGCAAAATGTAACAAGTTGACTTTTAAAGTTCCTGTTGAATGCTACAGAACATAAAGGCCAGCATTTGTTCATCATTAGTTTGTAATCTACCTTTACAAAGATCAAAACACAATAAATGTACCTGCTGTAGATTATAAAAACAATATTATTCCTCTATTCTGTGCATTACAGTCCCACATTACTCTTGTTTCATTGAAATGAACATGGCCAGGAATATATGATCTGTCAGCTGTTGAGTTTGCATCATAGCTGAGAGGAATGTAATACTATTGCTAATTCAACGCTATGTTCAAATGTCTTTGCATGGTATGGCTGGGTCATCCATTTGTTTTTGAAGATCACCACACGAGACACTCTTCTAAAGAAATAATGAAATACACCACATCAATGCAGAAGGCAATTAGGAGATCATAATAATCTGAATAATATATAAGGTAATGAAAGGGAAGGAAAACGATCAAAATATCCAGGACCAATTAATAAAATATACAATATCCACATATGAATCCACATAATGTTGTTGTTGGATCTTCAACATGTTGGAGCTTTTGATTGATTTGGAACTAAAATGGTGATATTGCATCAAATGATAGGAAATATACCAGCTTGATGATGTAATAAAGAGCAGAGCATCATCAGAGAGTACTGTGAAAGGTCCTGTCAGGTGTGTGAGCTGCAGCTGAGATGTCAGCCTCCTTATGCTCTTACCGACTTTCTGTCTGGAAACAGGAGTGGAGGCCTACTAGGAATGGATTGGTGGACGCCTGCTCGAACACATGCTTCTCTGTCTGCACCCAGTCGATATCCTGGAGAGGGGGGGGAGACGGATGGAGAGATAATGTATTAACAATCAATGTGTCTGATCGATACACTTTCTCTGTGGTTAAACAGAGAGGGGGAGACACGCCATGCCACAGATACACAATCCTATAAGAGGGGTCATTACCTCCAGTCTCTGGTCATTACCCAGGGCATTGTTAGTGAGAGATAAAGGGCCACTCCACGTTGCAAAACCATCGCAGATCTACCCAACGACCGGTAGCTTCCTGAGGAGCCACCATGTGCCTTTGTTCAGTGGACTGCTTTGGCCCATTTCAGAGGAAACAGCTATTCTTACCTTTATTTTGAAGCTCTTTTCATAACGGTATTGTCTGTCAAGCCCTTACATTTGCTTTGTGCGTCGCAATATGGAAATAAAGGCTAACGCGGAAATGAAAACAACAGTATTAATGCTCTATACATAACCACAATTTCAAATGGTTCCCTTTGTTTTAGTGCAACAAGGACATTCTGAAAATGTTCACATGTAATGAACTATCTATACACAGCACCATACAAACTAAAGGGGGAGCTGCCTTGACAATGTATACAATGTAAACATACCAAATGCATACATTCATACAAGTTGTGAAAACTGGGGTTCATGTCTTTTCTGTCATTTGTACACTCTGAAAAGTCATCCCGCAGGCCAGATTGGAGCCTCTGGCGGGCAGGTTTTGGCCCCCGGGCCATATGTTTTTGACACCCTGAATTAGACAATGTTATGTCCAAGGTTAGCCTGTTTGATCTGAACTCCATGCAGAAAACAAGAATTTAAGAAGTTGTTTTCTTGTTTACTGCAGAAAGACTTCACAAAGCACCAGACCTTTTTACAAATTAGCATCATGATTTATGTATATTATATTGTCAACTTTTTTACCCAATATTATCATGACACAAATTGGGAGAGGTTCAAAAGTTGGGTTGATATCGCTGTGTTAAACCAGATTCATGAATATAATGACCCCACGGTGTAAACCAGAGCGGCAGAGCCAATCATGGCCCTGGAGGATAGACCCTTTCCATTCTGAAGACAAATAGTCCAGATAACTCAGTCAGCTGCTAAAAACATGTTAATGCTAAAAGAAGGAAACACTCTTTCCTGCAAACAGATTACAGCATAAATGCACTTTCAGGTTCATCTCTATGTTAAGTTAAAGCATGCAGTGAGGGGCTGATGGAGCTGAGAGAGATGTTTCTGTTATTGTGGTAACTCATTATATTGTGTGCAGGCAAAGACATTACAGGGATGGAATTATTATTATTTGACTAGGGTTTATGAAGTCTTTTAATCGTACGCTGTAGCACAATCAGACCAGTTTTACAGAAGCTATTTTTTATCATTTTATTTTGTAAGGTTAAAAACAGACAAATATGGTTAAATCCTACATTTTTCTTCGAATGAAAACACATAATACATTTTGAAAGTAATTGCCGGACTTTTTAAATGCTCCGGAGTTATTCTAATTGTTTGGAAAACTGAAGCGAAACTCAACAGCGGGTAAAAAGGAAGGGGTTTAAATAATACAAACGTTTCCTTTAAGTATGGCCACTGACATGAATAACCTTCAGTATCTGCGCACAGGTCCGTTTTCCATCATTCGTATCAGTCAGCTGTGGTTTGAATGGTCCGCACTTCAGTTACAGAGCTGAGTGCCTCGCCTGAGCCGGAGATGTTTTATGCAGATTTAAAGTGTCATTAAGTTGATGATGGTTAATCTTTGATGTATATGTTGTACTTGATACTAAATCCCTCCTGGTCAACTCATTGAGGAATCTCTAATTATGCAGAATATGCAACGACAACATCTCTCGTATTGGCTCCATTAGTAGTTTGTAGTTTGTCATGAGAGATCCCTCTGATGTCAGTACCAAAGAGATACATTATGAAATGAATGTGCATGAGTAGAGCCATGAACACATGAATGTCCTATCACAACATTAGAAAGACTAGATCCTTTCCTTAAATCCCATTCATTAGGGTAAAACTGCATTCGTGGATCTTTTGCGTTTGTCACAAGTAATTAGGATTTAACAATGTTTTCAAATGAAAGTGTTTATATGTGGAAGAGAAGAACATATTAGAAGATGTTGAGTGGAGTTATGCAGCCTGTGACAGATGTTGTGCAGATGTTGGGTGCTGCAGGAGCTGTGGACAGTGATCCTTTTCACTTTACTGTGCAGGAGTTATCTGTTGAACAATATCGCCATCTAGTGGGCTCCCACAGCACCAACGACTGAACAATCAACAGGAGGACGCACTCATCACAATTTAGTTTGACATTTCTTTTAAACGTGTTTTTAGTATATGAATTGTGTTGCATGAATCCAACTGCCAAATATCAGTTTTCGCAAATCAGTTTTATCAGACTGTTTTGTGTTTGTTGGTGTGCAATGATTCTCTGATGAGCTTTGATTGATTACAAATGCACTGACTTTCAGAGCAACACTTATAATATCAGCCTTGGGGAGTATCAGATTACATGTAACAGGATTAGGTCATCAGGATACAAAAAGAAAGGTAACTGTATTCCCTTACAGTTACATACAAAATATGGGGATTACATGCAGGAAGACAATGTTACAAGACGTTTTAAATGACAGATTGATATATTATAGATAGATGTACTGCCTGCTTTTCCTTTTTGGTTTTTATTTAGGCTTTTTTTTTAATGCAGTAGGAGTACACCTGATGTATTAAAATGCAAGTATTAAACAAAAAAACCATTCTTGACTTTACTATTCTGTAGGACTAGCCTATCATTTAAGAGGACTTGATTTTTATTCTAAATATGTTGGTTTCTTCTTTTCTAAGGTGACATTGTGGGTTACATAATACACTCAGTACACACAGTACAAACATCTTATTGATATTTATCTTCTCCTCTATATATTTGGATTGTATTTGATATTGAGGTAATCCAAAAGTAATGGAAAGTAATCAGGTTACTTGTATATTGTGATACTCAGATTAGATCACTGGTTACATTACATATTTTTACAAGTAACTATTAATTGTAACAGAATACATTTAGAAAGTTACCCTCCCAGCCCTGGTAAACATTGAGTGTTGGCATGATTTGTCCACAAGAATGACTCATCAACTAATGTTGCATTATTCCTCGTCTATTTGTGGGCAAACCAAAGAATAAAAGAAGGGGGGTGCCTTGCATTGCAAAAACTGACCATTGCTTTAGTCTTGTACAAGTTATCTTGGAGAGGAAAGAATAAACATTTTGTCCACAAAACAATATTAAGGAGAGAATATAGAAGCAAATATCAGGGCTTTGTCTGACTGTTCCCGTTTTCAAATTTATCAAAATGGCTTCAGAAAAATGGGACCCGAGTTGAAATAAACCAAAATGATCCGTTATTTACATGTCAGTATGTAATCAGAGACCCGTGCCCAACCAGTTAAGCCCCATGCCCCCGGTACCGGGGGCAAAACGCAACATCTTGCAAGAAACAGCGTCTGAGGGCTTCTTAACATTTAACAAACTATTAATGTGTCATACCCACTTAACGGGAAGAAACTCAGCTATCAGACAATATTAACCATTTTTAGCTAAACGAAACACAAGGGTCATACCAAGCCTCTGAATTAGCCCTGAGCGAAAAAATGCTAACGCACTTAGCACAGAACTCACGGTAGAGATACCTTATTACTTATCGGATCTGCACAAACAACATATCAGCTAGCAAACTGAGATTCCACAGATTCTAGGGGTATAAGTATCATCACTGAGCGACCAAAACTTGCGGAAGGGGAAGCAAACCCAGACAACACACAACGTAGCTTTACGGAGCAAAAACGAAAAAATAAGTCTTACCTTTGCTGTCTTCTGATCAAAAGTTGTGTTCAATGGCATTACAACGCATAAAAACGCTGCTGAAGGTTAATCCAATGTGTCTGTGTCACTTTGAAATGATTACTGATAATCCATCTTCATATTTATGTCAATAACGGAGATTTCATATAACTGCTACGAGAGTGTATGACAGCTTCCGGTTTTGGGCATTCTGGCTACGCATCACTCATTCACCAATGGGTAATGTTTAGATGGATTTTAGGAACTTCCCCTCGATTCTATTGGCTCTAACGGTTCAAAAGAGGTGTCAATCATCAAAATCGACCTATGGGTTCCAGAGATATGGCAAATCCACCCAAATGACCCCAGAAGTGTTTCTTTTTGCTAAATTTCTCTAAAAAGGTCAAATGTCACTTGTTTTGCATCAATCTTGATACAGGGTACTTATTATATGTTATAGTTTGGATTCCTAAAGCTTTTAGTCTACTAACCCATCATTCAAGGGTGGTTTTCACTATAAGTAATGGGTTTTTTGGGACAGACACTATAATTTACAGTTTTTTACTATGTTCAATCTGAATTTACTTTAAAATAAAAAAATTCTATATTGATTCTGACTTTTCTACATCCAACTCACAGGTTTATCATTACTTTGAGAAAAAAGATTATTAATTTACCCCTTTTAGAAGGGAAGACATTTCTGGGAATGTCATTTTCGAGCCTGAGACCTGAAAAACAGGCTCGGGGCTTAACTAAGCCCAACGACAAAAACCATGTTGAAGATAACCCTCAAATACTGCTCGTGAACTTTGATTTGTATTTTGTACTGATCACACATCACCAGTATAGCACCTGAACTCTGCATTCATTCGTAAGAAGCCCCTATGGGCAAAACTATTTCATACAGAGTACCCTAACATTACTGAGTGCTGTTTATCACAAGTCATGGACTATGTGATGAGATGTGGGGAGCTACGGGGGAATTGAGTATTTGGACTGAATGAATATAAACAGTATATGCCATAACGCTGTTGATCATAAACACATACATTGATAATTCCTCTTTCCCTTGTTGTGATATTGTAGATGACTCATGGTTACACACACAGTGACCCATCCCTCCTCAGCACAGCACCAAGCGCCCCGGACAGTCCTTTATGCCTGTAGCCATCAGGCTGCACAACAAGGGCTCAACAATGTGACACAAACTGGACATAAATACACACTGTTTCCACACATAAATATATCTAATATGTATATATGACCCAATATGTATATATGTTCACTTTAATTAATCTCTTATTTCATAGTTTTTTTTATCATTTTTATCTTTGATTTGATCTTTAATTGTATTAATCTGTGTGAATCTGTGCTGTCCTGTTTTTCATCCTTACGGTTAAACCACTGAATTTCCCCACGGGGATTAATAAAGGTCCATCTGATCTTATTCATTTAGTATAAGTTAGTCCACATCAAATGAAGACTAGTTAAGACATTGTGTGGCAACTGCCATTCTGAGGTGAGAGCTGAGAGGAACGCACATGTATGGATTGACCAGTGTGTGATACCCTCAGGACAAAGTAGACCCATCAGCTCACCAATGTGTTCTGGTCATGACACATTTAGGTCTAGTGGCCTTCATCTCCCTCAGCTTGATTTATGTTTGCCTTTGCGTAACCAGACTCCATGCTCTTACTTTGAAATGCGGAACCACATCATCAGCAGCCTATCAAAAAATGATTTTGTTCTTTTTTCACTGTATTCTCTATAAACACATGTCTGCATCTGAATGCATGATCGCAGGGCAACAGGGGAAATATTTGTGTATCTTTAGAGAGTTCTGATTTTCTATTAGTACGGTGCACCTGTGTCACAATCCTTTCTGTCTCACCTCATCATCGTGGACCAGCTCCTTCTTCACCACCTTCATGGCGTACACCTGCTTGTTCTTCTTCAGCCGGACCAGCAGCACCTTGGCGTAGCTCCCCCGCCCGATCACCCGGATCAGGTCGAAGTCCCCGAGCCCCAGGGCCAGGCCGGGGGACAGCTTGATGCCGTCAATCCCGTCCACCACCGCCTTGATGTCCTGCAGAGGGCACAATGCAGTGAGTGCATAGATAGTCTCACATAAATATACAGGTAGGCCTACGAGGTTTAAGATTAAGTAGAACATATTATTGCAGCTTGTGACTGCAGTTGAACAAGGAAAAAGAGAGCAATACATGTAAACGTTTGATTCAATCATAATGATTCAATCAAAATCATAATACTTTATTTATCTGGGGAGGATTGTGTTTTCTGACAGTTGCTCCATTTTAAAATAAAATCAAATGAACGATAAATAGTAGGGATGCTCCGATCGATATCGGCCGATATTCACTCTCTGCCGATCGATCGGTGCTCTCTATAAAGGCTGATCAGGAGAGCCGATCACATGGCGTAAAATACATGACACTTTTCTCTGTGCGCGGCAAAACAAGCTCGCCAAAATGGCTTCACCAGTCTGGCAGTATTTTAAGGTGTCCGAAAAAGACAGTAAAATAGCGGTATGCAACGTGTGTGACGCAGCGTCCACACGGCGGCGTGCGTTGAAGCTTGCCGGCGGGCGTGTCTGAAACTCGACCAAAAACCAATCACATGAATCTCCCGCCCCGGACACACAAGCACGCGGTTTGATTGGATAGAGCTTGTACTGGCATATGATTTGATTGGCTGACGCTTCCGTCGAAGCTTCAAAAGTTGAACATGAATGGGCAGAAGTGTTGAAGCTTCAACGCACGCCGCCGTGTGGACGGACCGTTACGGCTGCACCGCGGCGTTCACAGCGATCGCGGCCACTCTAGTCAATGGGTGCTATTCCACCAGACGCGCCACGTTACGGCTAGAAGCATCCCAGAAGCGTCCCAGAAGCGTCCCAGAAGCGTCCCAGAAGCGTCCCAGAAGCGTCCCAGAAGCGTCCCAGAAGCGTCCCAGAAGCGTCCCAGAAGCGTCCCAGAAGCGCCAAATAGACTTGCTCCGCTAAAAATAGGATGCAAGTCTATTTTCGACGCGACGCGAGGCGTTGCATAGCGCCGGGCAGGAAGTGGACCGGTCAGAGCATCCAGTCAATCCCCAAAATAAACTAATTTTGCAGACCCTATCCCTCCGTAGTCTTTCAAGTAGGAGGAGAAATGCCAGCGTTCTCCTCCGGTTTACAGGCACTGTGTAAATTATATATATAGAATAATTATGATGATGAATGCATTTTTTTACCACTAAAATACAGCAACACATCTTTGATTCATGTCGTTTATAACTGGAATATTACAGTTATTATTAACTTTGTCTGTACAAAGTAGCCTGCCCAGGAAATATGCCCAAATCAACAAAAACTGCGAGCCGGCAGGCAAGACGCTCCGCTTCTGAAACACTTCTGAAACGCGCCCGGTGGGTTATGACGCCGGAGGAGGTCGGACCAAAACCGCGGTGCAGCCGTAATGGGCGCAGACGGACCCGGTGGAATCCCGGCTGTAGGTGCGCCGCATTTGCTCTACAGATGAGGCTCCCTCCGCAAGGTGAGGCCCCACGCAGTCTGCGTGATCGGCCTGTAGGGAGGGGCGGCCCTGGGAGCATCCCTAATAGAGTAACAATCGTTTTTTTAAAACATTAGAAAATTAAGTCAGAATCTGGAATAAGAAGATAACATTTGAAAAAAAAAATCAGATAAAACAAATATTAAAGAAAATGTATATACCTATATTCATATAAGCAGCATGGGAATATCATTGTACATAAATAACATTTAAATGATGACATTGTGCAGATCTTCTTCTCACCTCTGTATCTGCATCTTCTGCTTTATCCACTGAACAGTTGTGTGGTAGAAAAGGAACTGTGGACAGAGACACAGAACATCATGTGGGATGAACATGGGGAGACATGGGACAGTCTGCACTGAGGGTTTAACATGAGGGTCTTTTTTTGGCCAGTAGAGGGAGCAACAGAACATAGAATGAAGTGCCGCTAGGGAACACAGAACTAGGTCAATCCTCAGAGCATCCCGTATCAGGGACCCCCCCAACAGACCCTCCATGAGTCCACAGTCCGTTTAATAAGATGTACAGCTCAGAGAGAAGCACTGCAGTTAGACAACAGTTACATAAAGGATGATAGTGAATGTGAGGTGAAGCCAAGAGGCTCTGAAAGTTATCCATTCTGATATTCATTCATCCTCACCTGTATACATCCTACTGTACATGTGATATTTGGTGTGAATAGTATCTTACATAGTTCCATTAAGTAATAATGTACTGTCACACCCCTGGCAGATCTGTTCATGGCTATCTTTATTTTTGCTCATTTAAACTCCAGGGAGCTATGTAAAGTATTTCATGTTGCTTATGTGAGTTTTTGAACGCTAAGGTAAATGACTATCAAGTCAGAGTCAGTTTCACAAAGAGATTTAAGAGTGGTCGGTGTGTTCGCTCAGAGATTAGTCTAATACAGTTCCACAAAAATAAAGACTGACCTACTTTAACTCTAGAAGGATAGCACCACCCCCCCCCCCAGGCAAGCTCTGATATATGTGTTCATACTATGAGCTTACAAAGCCAAAAATCACACACTGGCCCGCTACAGTCGCAGGGTGACACAGTCACAAATGTAAGAAATATAAATGTTTATATGATGCAGTGTGTTTAATTTACATCAAATGGAAATGTGTCTTTGGCACTGGCTAATAAAACAACATGAACCATACATATGTACAGTACAATATATAATTCACAAAAAAAAAAAAGGGAATCTTTAAAGGTAGGGTAGGTAAGAATGGAGAAACCAGCTCGAGTGCGCTAGAATTTGAAAGTACGCAGCCGAAAAAAATCTGCCCCTTCCTTCAGACTTCCTTACAGAGCCCCTCCTCCAACACACACGAACGCACACATGACCAATGAGGGCACGAGATAAGTTTGTGCACAGATGGAAGGCTGACAGGCAGGTAGGCCATCCAGTTATTTTAGCCGGGCCGGCTAAAATAACTGGTCTAGCTTTTTACAGTACTACGGCTTCCACAGATGAACATTTTTTAATGTATTTATTGTCAAAGCATTTAATGTATTCATTGCTCCATGGAATATAACAAAAAGTGTTTCTGAAGTGAATTACCTACCCCACCTTTAAGTGACTAAGTGGCAGTCTTAATAAAAGTGCTGAGTGGTTTGTTCTTCCACTGGCTTGTGGTGCATTCAAATATCAATTCATTCATTAGAAATAAATATTTCATGTATTTAATGCATATTAGATATCATTTAATATACGTTTTTACGTTGATCATTGCTTGGGAACTCCTTCAGTTATTTCCTGTGATACAGGATACATGCTCTGAACAGCTTTTGAGAACAGCCAGCTTTCTTCACTGTTCTTCTGACGATGTGAGGCGAAACATTTAGCTTGTACATTATACATAAAAAACATAAAAAACCTTGATCCAGAAACATTGCAGCATTTTACTCGTTAGAGAAGAAGAAGGTCTTACTTCCATCTGTGTCCTCTGTGTCATCTGGTGGAAGGTCCACTTCCTCACTCTTGGCATCTGAAGGGGGCTCCTGTGATGGCATGACTGGATCCTGAATAAAGAAAACTAAATAAATACCCAGACACATCCCCAAATATCCACTGAATATCCACACATGGTTGAAACGCCTGGAAGAGTGTAAGATACACCATGTTTGAAAGGAAAAGTCTATTTGCAGAAAGATTGTGTTTGATCAGAGGCTTACTTTGAGGTCAAATTGATGTATTACAGGAAGCCTATGAGTTTGCCATCACCCAGTGGCGAACCGTGTCTATCACAACTGGACCTTCTGTAGACACCCCCCCGGATTCGAAAATGTGGGTGTTCTAGTCAGACGGACGTCACGGAGGCAGTCACTCTGCGTTGGACGGCCTTTTTTTATAATGTCCATCTTTTCACTGAATGATCGTCTTGAAAAGGATACTAACAACAATTCCGCAACAACATCATCTTCACCTGTTGCCATTTCAACGTTAAAAACAATAAAACGGCAAATGAATTGCTACGTAGCATTTATCTAGATCCTCTGTCTCGAGCCAGTGAACTACCGGGCCTTCTAGAGTACCCTGGAACCGAGAGAAACTCTGAAAGAATACGCCCATTGGCTACAAATCAATATGAGTGGTTGATCAAACTGTCAATCCAAAGGTACGCTCTCATTCAGTGCAACGGCCAGGGCATTCTATCAAGGATGTAGAATACCTTGGTTGAAGGATATTCTACCCAGAGACCCAGAAAAAGATCTGATTGGTTGCATTTTTCTTTCTCACACAAAACCACTGAAATGCGTAGTGCATGGTCCGAGAAGGACCAACAAATCAACGTAACACTGTAATATTACAGATCAACAACACAGATACCATTCTCATTTATTCATTTTATTTACATTTTATAAAATTGTATTTATATAATTAAATCGATTTTTTGTTTGTTTTATCTGAGTGTTCCAGGGTATTCTCTGAATACAAACTGCAAGAGGAAAAACAGTAAATGTACAGTACAAAGAAAGAGGAATCTGTGTTGTGCTAAAGTTAGTCTGCTTAATTAAAATGTAATTACATATTTTAACATGCTTTTTTTTGTATTGTTGGTCACCTGTTAGAAATAATTAGCATTTTTTATTATTTCTTACATTGTTATTGGTATAACTCCCATTTCATTTGACTTGCTGATTTTTCAACCATTTTTGTATTATTTTCTTTCTTCTTTTTTCTTCGTGGTTTATTAAGTCCAATGTGTGTTTATAGATGTGTAAACTTTTTCTTTACACTATTCGCACTCTCTGTGGCTGCAACCTTTGTGTAATACAGTTTGGAAATAGTCTTCATCACTTCAGTGTGTGAGCTTGATTAGAATGTTTGCTGCTTGACTGTGTTATGTCAGATAGACTGCTGCTGTTAGCTGCTGGGTACATGATGAATACTCACCATAAGCCTTTGGCAGGTCTGAGGGATGAGTCTGTGACAGCGCTTATGGACCAGCAGTTTGCAGTTGATACACTTGTAGCCCTGCCTGCCCAGCCCCCATATCCTTTCAGCACAGTGGCCACAGTAGGCTTTCTGCAAGACACACAAAGGACACATAGTCTTTAACACACTCACTGATACAACCCCTGGCGATTCTCATAAAGCACTAATTAACAGCAACTACATGAATAAATAAGTGTGATGGACATACAGTGACCTTTCCAGATGAAATATTACACATTTCTCCTTACTGTACTGTTTTAATGCGGGTCTATTCTGGTTGTGATTGCTGCTCGGTCCATTATTCACTCTTGTTTTAGCTCGGTTTTTGGTTAATACCAACATCTGAAGGAAATACCTTTTCTCTTTAGCTGAATTGCCCCATTATATTCAGCAGCTAGCCTCTAACTGTGTCCGTCTGCCGTTTATAAGCAGGTGGTGGACAGTGACTTTGTCAGAGCTTTTTCATGCAGTATACATGTGTTATTTTCCTGGAATCGAAAGACTCATAAGGAGACCATTTCTAGTCATGATGATGCAAGTCTCTATGGTAGCCATTTTGTCGTAGAGAGACCAACTTTTTTAAGCGACACTGTATAAAATGATCTTTTGTGACCTCTCAAACATGGAGGTCACGAATCAGCCTATTAGTACAAAAATAAACAAGAAAGTCTATCAGTAACACATGAATCCTTGTCATCCAATCATGTGAGTTATCTAGCCTGTGGCACATATCCATATCGGCAAATTACACTGAACAAAAAATAAAAACGCAACACTTTCGTTTTTGCTCCCATTTTTCATGAGCTGAAATACAGGTGAGGATGAATGAAATCAGAATGAAAATGTACACAAAAGGGCTATTTCTCTCAAATATTGTTCACAAATGTGTCTAAATCTGTGTTAGTGAGCACTTCTCCTTTGCAGAGATAATCCCACCACCTCACAGGTGTGGCGTATCAAGATGCTGATTAGACAGCATGGTTATTGCACAGGTGTGCCTTAGGCTGCTCACAATGAAAGGCCACTCTAAAATGTGCAAGAACTGGGATGTTTCAAGCTTCCAGGATTTGTGTACAGATGGAGGATGAACGGCACAACAGTGGGCCTCAGGATCTCTTCTCGGTATCTCTGTGCATTCAAAATGCCATCAATAAAATGCACCTGTGTTCGTTATCCACAACATACGCCCGTCGCCCGCCCATACCATAACCCCACCGCCACCCTGGGCTACTTGATTCACAACGTTGACCTCAGCAAAGCGCTCACCCACATGACACCATACCATGTCTGCCATCTGCCCTACAGTGAAAACCGGGATTCATCCGTGAAGAGGACACTTCTCCAAAGTGCCAGACACCATCGAGGTTGAGCATTTGCCCACTGAACAATAATTTAGGTTTCTGACAGGTTGTGCAAAAACTCTTTGGTTATGCAAACCGATTGTTGCATCAGCTGTCAAGATGTCTGGCTGTCCGGGCGGCTGGTCTCAGGCGATCTTGGAGGTCCTGGGCTGCTGTGGTTACACTTGGTCTGCGTTTCTGAGGCCTGTTGGATGTGCTGCCAAATTATCTGAAATGCCTTTGGAGACGGTTTATGGTAGAAAAATGATCATTCCATTCACGGGAGCGACAGCTCTGGTGGACCTTTTGATATTACTTTATTTCATGTGTGCGGTATTTCTTTCACGTGTTCTGTTTGGTTGTGCTGAGTTGTTGATTTTAAGAGGATTTTTAACAGAATATTATTTTGTCTGGTATACATCTACTGTAAAGCACAGACCTAATGCAGTTACATCACATGGTCTCTAGAGCGTTGGTTCTGTCATTGGTGTTTAGCTGACATTGCTAAATTAGGACTGAAGGCTGTTCAGTGTCCCTGGACATCAATTCATCCGTCACCAAAATGTCCCCCTGGAGACTGAACACATGCAGTGTGTGTGTGTGTGTGTGTGTGTGTGTGTGTGTGTGTGTGTGTGTGTGTGAGTCGACAGCATTCATTCATTGGGGTGGATGCTGACGGTGTAAAGAACAAAGAGTCCCAGTCACTGCTCTGTTGCCATGGAAATGCTTCAGCAAGACTTCAAAGGCTTCCTTCTGTCTTTCTCATCTAACTCTACACAGAGGTTAAGGCACACATTTATAAATTAATCACCAGCTTTAGTCCTGTTTCTTTCCCTACACAGCACCCAACCAGCAGTGTGAAGAGTCACTGCGTCAGGCTGTGGACACCAGGGAGTCGGCCCTTTTAATAGTGATGCCTTTTATACCTCAAGATATCCAGGCTCAACTGTTTTTTTATCCTCACCTTGTTTTCAGATGTCTAAAAACACAGCAGGAGCCTTGTGATTAAGCCCAAAGGCTTTGCATACCAAGCCTGTATCTTTCTTATGTGTTTGTTTGTATCTGATTAAAATAGTTACGTATAGAAACCTTGCACATTTTCAAATGCTTAGTTTAATATTCTATTTGTTACACAACTAAATGCAGAGGCCAGGGTTGCACTATTAAAAGTCAAAGCTTGCTATGGATAGTGCAATGGATAGTGTTAGTCCCAATCAGGGCTAATGAATGAATGACTTGAGCAAGAAGCTATCGTTTAGCTGCCTAGAACACAATCATTGCTGTGTAATCTTCGTACATCCTTTGTTTCTACGATCTTGTAGGTGGCAGCACTTTCAGCTTAATGCTAACATTAGCATTCTAAAAAGCTGACAGTGACTTTGTAATATTTAGAAGGTAAAATGTTCACCTCCTAATTTTACAGTGCTATTTGACTTAATTCAAGTTCAACTGACCGTATTTGGTCATACACCAAGGCACTGAACTGATGTTGATGGTTCTATGGGAAAACAAATGAGAAATCAACAGTGATCCTCTGTGGACCTTTAATATCAGTAAAGTAGTTCATACAAATCCATCTAACAAAATCTTGACCGACAAACCCTAAGACATTACCATACAAATCTAGGAGCCACAATCTGAGCCTCTGCAGTCCTCCGGAAAATATGCTCGAAAATAATAGATAGACAACTGTTACGTGCTCCCCTCCGTGTTGTCTTTTCTGTCTCCCTGCAGGTGCACCTGGTCTACCCCTGGTCTGCCCCTGGCTCCGCCTCTACCCAGGTGGTCCCAATGCCACTCAGCCGTGTTATGAGGAGAAACTGGAGGAGAAGGAGTTTGCCTATCCTAATGCCGAAAGAGTCTGTTCTGTTGATGATCTCTCTGTTGCTTTTGAGCTATAGACCCCTTTGCTGCTGCTGTTATGATGTGTAGCCTGGAGGACCTGAGGCCTGTACTACGAAGCTGGATTTTCGCTTAGCCGGCTAACTTCAGGGAAATCTCGGGTTTTCCGGTCCTACGACGCTGGTTCTCTTTTTAGCAGGCTAGATCTCCATGGTAACTTATGCTGAGCGGCAAACCTGCTCCGGAGCAGGTTAGGTGGCAGGCTAAGAGATCAACTCAGTGAAAGCACCGCCTGCTGACCAATCAGAGCTCCGTGTGCGGAGTTTAAAGCTATCAAGTCATATTACAGGATAGAGGAAATACAGAAAAACTGCCGTTGCAGGAAAGACGGCCGGCAAAAATCAACTGACTGTGTGAACGTGAACATTAATAGAATATCCCCTCCTATCTTCAGAGCAATCTGACTATTATAACATTAGCGTTAAGAAAGCTTACTTAAATATCTGCCACAACATAAGTAACCGGATCAGAGTAACATTAAGTACAGTCCGCGGCACTGTGAGTGCAGACGTCGATGTGTCCCATTATCATTCATATCATATCACATCATAATGTATCATATATTTCCTTATCTGAGTCAGCTTCTTGAGCCGTATCTGGCCGTGCAACACTCACAGTGTCACATACTGTATGCAGAAGTATTATTTTAAGCAACACATTAAGTTGACGAAACACTCGAGTCAAATGTAATTAAAGTCAGATCGTGTCTTAGACGGGGCAGTGATATCATAAACCTGTTAATGTACGCATTCAAACGCTTTTTCTTTTACCAGCTGTATTCACCTTGCAGGTGCAGCTATGTGGCTTTGATCCTGGATAAAGTGTTTAAGTCATGGATGTTTAAAGGTTAACTTCTTCATATTTGACTAATATTAAAGTTCACTTTTCATTCAGGAAGTATGACGCTGCGCTGTCAGTACGCTTGTCCATGTTTGTGATTGGTCGAATGCTCCAAATACCACCCCTTTCATGTGAACGCGCACCTAACTAGATAGGACACGGCTGGCTTGAGCGATCCACTTGATAACCAGCGTCGTAGTACAGTTTAGCCAGAGCGCGTATGTTTTGGATTGGGCCAACCGGCTAACTCAAACATATCCAGGTTAGGTTGAACCAGCTTCGTAGTACAGGCCTCTGGTAGTCTAGTTTCCCGTAGGATTTTGTTTGATTTTTGGTTAGGGGAGGGAAGCTCTGGTTCCTACGGCCCGTGGTGTGGCTGGCTCGGGCCCCCTCCTTCTTTTTGTTTCTTTTGGCCAGTCCTCCAGACCTCGTTCGTTTGCCGGATGGCTTGTGTGAGTAGCGGCTGCACATCAAATAAATGAACAACATTACAACCCAAATTCAATACATTATTATACTGCATTGATTTATTTATCTATTTAAATGCAAATTACATTACATGTTACTTGTTAGACGCTTTTATCCAAAGCGACTTACATACTCAATACTGTGGACAATCCCCACACGAGCAATCTGGGGTGAAGTGTCTCAGGGACACAACGACATGCTGACTGCAGTGGGGTTTGAACCTGTGACCATCTGATCCCCATACCAAGGCTCTATCCACTGCGCCACACGCCTCCTAAATTAAAATATAAATGTAATTGAATATAGGTTAAAAAGAGTCAACCAACAATTTCCCTTTTTTTGTTAACTCTACTAGCCATCATGTTAATTACAAGTTGTAAATAACAGATACTGATAGCTTAAACTTAATAACTTATCTATGCGGTTGGTTGCTGTTACACGGTAAGATGAAACTAGAGAATGCAATTCCTGAAGAAATTGCTAGTGGGAATGCTTTATGCTGAAAAGCTGACGCTAAACTGCTATGCTGAAATGTAATGT